TTACAGAGAGAGATGAGGGGCAGTGGGTACAAGTTACTCCAGAGGATTCTGCTTGGAAATGAGGATAAATTTTCCCAATGAGATCAGGAATAGAAGTGGTAGATTCCCATGTTGAACATTTGAGTGCCTGGACAGGGTGCTGAGCCATCTTGTCTACACCATACCAAGAAAGGTTTGACCAGATGATCCTTGAAGTCTCTTTCAAACTGATATTCTATATCTTTATAAAATGTATTTTTAAATGTGTTTTCATTTTGCCTCTTGTCTGCCAAACAGAAATCTGATTTGTTCCCTGTCCACTCCCTCATGGCCTAGTTAGGTCTAGGCCTTGGAACAGTGGCTGACTAGATGCAAATCATGCAGCGTTGTAAGCTCACAGCTTTCACTTTTCCCCTCCTCCAGGCTCTTTTTCCCAAAGGAAAAATTTCCTCAAGCTATTTTCACCCTGATCTGCCCAATTCCTTCTGCTGACTGAGCCAGGAGGTTTAATGTACCAGCAGAGTGGGACCCTGAGCCGGGGCAGTGCTGAACAGCTAGGGTGCTGGGACAGACTTCCTGTTGCCAAAGCACTGTCCCTTCAAGCATGCATTACTGGAAATATTTGCATTCTCCAGGTCTTGTTTTACAAAACCCCCAAGGAGAACAAAGCAGCTTTAAAAGCAAAGATAGCCTTTTTGAGGACAGATCTTGTTTTATGTTGCCTTATGTTTTCCTTTTTACTTCACCTCTTGCAAGGTGAATCCTTTTTTGCCTGTTTTGTAATAAAAGTTGGCTGAACAGAAAGCAGCTCAGAAAGCCACTGTCGTACAAGGCATTCAAGCCCACAGTAAAAGATGCCCCTTTTCTACCTGCAAGTGTTGACCTTTGCAAGGGTCTTTGCTCTGTCTGCTGTTGAGGTGCTGGAGTTGAAAGGCTGAGCCCTGCTTGCCTCATTCTCTTTCTTCTGTACATTTGAACCCCTGTAATTCTCCCTCCCTGCCAAACCTACCCTCTTCCACCACAGGGTCATATTTTGGTAAGGGTTTGTGAAGCAACCACATCTGTAGCTTGTGTGAAGTCTTCCACCTCTTATCTCACATACATGAAGAAATACCATATTTACCACTCTTGATTGTGGTGTCTTGCCATTCAGGTGAAAACTCAAAAAGGTATCCAGAAACTCCACAATTACCATGGATGTACTTGTCACAAAAAGAAAGATAAAAGGGAAATGTATCAAAATATCTGAAAAAATTCTAGTTTCTGTTTTAAGGAAAACTGGTGGTGATGTGCAGCAGGGAGGGATTTAAGTTGAACTAGGTGGAAATGGAATGTATATTGTGCTACAAGCACAGTCTCAGTATTCCCCAGTGTGCACTCACAGTTATCTCTGTGTTTAAAGAGAAATTTGCTTTTTGCAGCAAAGCTATCATTTAACACACACAGAATAAAATGGAACATTAAGAGTTTTAAGTTAATATTATGTTTGTTATCTGTCCTTTGTCTGCATTTATGGGATCAGTGATGGTTTGATTTCTCTTCCCTGCTGTTCCATTTCCCCTGTCTCTATTTGAGCCATGTTGGCAATATTCATCCCTAACTCGATAAATGTACTCACAGCTTTTGTTTCAATGCACTTTCATATGATGATTAAGTAGTTCTCTGACTACTTATGTTTCCTAATATATATATATAATTCTAATACTACTACCCCAAAATAAAAAGCAAGAAACAGTGCTAAATGACTTTTTGAACAATTATCATTGTATAAAAATACCAAAGTACAATTTTGGACTGTCTGCAAAATCTTTAGGAGATGTAAAGGTCTGTTGCTTTCAAAGAGTTCTAAAATTTTGGACCAAATTCAATACCTGCACTGACATGTGACAGTGATTTGGTGCTCTAAAAGCAATGAGCCTACTTTTCTTTGCTCTGAAAGCTTTTGCAACAGGCAATATATCCTGTCAAAAATCCCTCTCTTTTGTCAGATCATTTTACTGTCTTAATGATGTTTGAACGTAGCATATACTTAGCGAATTTAAAAAACATTCTTGAACTGAAGTCCTTCCTAATTTGCCAGACACTTAAACAATAAAAATGAATGCAGTGACAGAATTCATTCTGTGGCGATGACCTTGAACTTCTGGCAGAGATCTGAAAGCATCACCTGATGCTCTTCACCCAAGACCAGTTGCAGTTGTGCCCCTCAAACCTTCAGTGTATCACAAAGGTTTTTATTCAATGTAAATCGCACATATTCACCTCACTTACTCTGGTCAGAGCAGTCCTTCATCCTCTGTTTCAGAAACAGGATGACCTTCTCAGTTATCCAAGTTCATATTCAATTAGCAGCTAAGGATTCCTAATTTAAACACCCCTAGGGAAAACATGAGCTTTTTGGAAGAGATACTTGGACAAGTTAAGCGTGATTCATATTAGCAGCAATTTGTAAAAGCTGGGTCTCACTGAAGATTACATCTGTTGTTAAGAAGTGTCAACTAGAACAGGCAGAGACTGTGGTGATTACGTGTATTATCTACACCCTGGGGGAGCTGTGTTGTTATTTGAGGGAAGTTCATGCTGTACTACTGAATTTGGATGGGAAAACATTCCAAAAATATGGCAGTGTTTACTTGGAGTGCCAGAGTTTCGACAGTTTCCAAATCAGGCTTGAAGTGTTTTGCAAAAGATGCTGTGGGGTCTTTGGTCCTTCTTCTTCTTCTAGGGGAAGGGTCTGTGGACAACTTAAATAAAAACTGCAAAACCTGGGCCATACCTTAAATTAAACTTATTAGCTTGTAAAATTGTCTATGCTGAGGCACAGTAGTGGTTTCTAAAACATCTTTTTTTTTGCTTGAAAGAGCACATCTTTTAAAACCTGGAAATTGATGTTGACATAAACCTTTAGGATCCAAGCCAAACCCGACTTCTGTGAGTGCCAGGAAGACAATGCTGCTGTACTCTGGGGAGCTGCTGATCCCTGGCAGACCAGCCAGGGCATTGCTCTGTGGCAGGGTTTGGCTTGGGAATTTCCCTGTCTTTTCCAGATATGGATCTTATTTCCCACCTGTGCTGCAGGGTTCCTCACTTCCAAAGAAATAGGAAAAAAAATGAGCAGAACTGACTCAGACTCAGTACACTTATTATGGTTAAAAAATGCTTATTTTTGCCAGTGGTTGTTTTTATTTAAGAAAAAAAATAAAGTAGCACTAAGCAAAATTTGAGCCTTGAAATGTTTCCATAGTATATTGAAGTGTTATAGCTCTGGTGTGTGGTTCATTATTTTCCCTTGAACGACAGGACTCTGACTGGAGTTCTTGCCAGGGAGGCACCACAAGCTCCCATGTGTGATGGGATGTAGCATTCCACTGGGAGCCTCACTGCAGGGGTATATAGATAGAAAAGAAATATGAGCTATCTCAAATATAACTTCTAAGAGGTATTGCCATAACTTATGTTTCAGAAATTCTTTTCATTTTATGCATAGTCTTTTTTTTTTATCTTCCCATCTTTATACATTTCAGATTAGAAAAATATCCACGCTCTTCCATGGAAAGCAAAAATTCCAAAGAGAAAGGGTTAGTTGAATAGTTTTCTTGTGAAGTTTCACAAGAAACTTTTCAGCCATTCACGGTGTTAAAATTTCAAATTTTTTCTTTTACTCCCTCTTATAAAAATATATTTTGCTACTTGTTAATAAATGCAAAGGATCAATGTGGGGAATGTTATAGTAACAAGATAAAATTAGTTTAAGAAAATTACATCCTTATTTTTCCATAATTTCCCTTGCTATGTGTATATGACATTGTGCTATCCTTTATCAATGTGGGCCTGTGCTGTGAAATTAAATCAATAACCACCAACAATTGAACTCTGAGGGGTAAGGAAACCAACCCCTTACACTATAATTTTTTCTTTAATTTGTTATTTATTTCCCCTTGTCTTTGGGTAGTAATCTATGTTCTGAACAAGCACCACTGGATAAAGTACAATATCACATAAACTATGTGATGCTGTACAGATACTTTGCACTCAGAAGGTCTTGTTGGAAAGATTGAAACAATTCTAAGTGATTTAAAATTTGCATCTTTTTTCATCAAAAATTACAAACCCTGACTGTGATGTGATTTGCTGTGAGAACGAAAGGTGTGGTTATGGTGAGTGTTCAAAGAAGAAAATGCAACAGAATTTCCTAACTTTTGTCCTTGTCTTATTTTCTAGGATATGGACAAGTGTGTAAAATGGAAAAGGAAAGGAAAAACTGAGGGCATTTGTACATTCAGCAGCACCACAGGCAAGGTGTGAGGTGAGTGAGCCCTTGTGTGAACGTTCTGGCTTTGCCCATGGACTGGGGAGGTGCGGCTGGAACTTGCAGAGAGGTTCCCCATGCCCAGGGTCTGAAGTGCCCATGCCAGGGTCCAATCTCAGCAGGCACACATGCTCACAGACTGGATGTGTCCCAACTTCTCTGCAGTCCCACTGTCCTCTTCTTGCTACCAAGAGGATTTTTCGCTCACAAAAACCTGAGGCTTTGCTTTGACAAGAATTCAGTTGGACAGGAACACATGTAAAACAAAACAAAAGTATGGAAAACCTTATAAATTACTGTGTCTGCTGCATATCATGTTCCAAAACATTAAAGACTCCACAGGAACAAGAGTTCACAGCACGCACAGTGGTGTTTTGGGTTTTAGATTTTTTCATGGTCTCCTGTTATTTATTTCTGTTAGAAGTTACTCTGAAGCCGACTAAAATGAATTATTAAGCAACCTTGTGTAACTGCTGTTTGTGCACTGAATTTATGGACTGTTGTGATTGTTGTGCGTGTTTACTTTGTCTTATTGACACAGTTAGCAAGTTAACAGTAATAAAAATAATAGTAATAAAAATAATAGTAATAAAAATAATCACTATGAGTTTACACTGCACAGAAGCTGACATTCTCTTTTCATTCTCTTTTTTATTTTTTTTTTTTCCTTCTCCCCTTTTTACTTGCCTTCCTGACCCGGACTTTACACCCATGAGGTTTTTCTTTGCAAACACTGCAGAATGAGCTGGATGGAGGGGAGGATGCTGCCCTAGCCATGGATTATTTTGCAGGTGGGCCGCCCCAGCAAGCAATCAGCACTTGCTGTGCACACTTCACCTCCTGCACTGAGAATTATCCCTGGATCCTGTCCCTTGTTCCAGCCATGGCCACCTGCATATCAGAACATTTTCATAGTGGTGCTGTGCTCCCCCTGTTCAGTGCAGCTGGTGCATGGGGGCATGAAGGGAGTTCAATAATTGCGTGTCAGTGGGTAAGGTTCCGGTCTTGCTTTCAGTGAAGTGAGCTCCTGCTGTGTCTATCAAAAATTATATCTTTTGGGGCTTTTATTTATTGCCAGCAGGAAAGAACAGCAACAACAACAACAACATCAAAAAATAAACTGCAGCAGTCTCTGTCCCTGAATCTAGTTGTTCCTTGACCTGTGTGTATGACCTGGAGGCCAGGCACCTTATATCCTCCAAACCAGTGCATTAGAAATGTACTTTTCCCAGCTTTTCAGCATGCACCGAACCCCCAAAATAGGCTGAAACATAGAAAACATTCAATTTGTGTAACTGGATTGAGGAGTGTCTGCATTTGCAGTTGCAATGATGCATCCATGGCAGCCTCCAGTATGATAAAAAGAAACAGAAGAGGATGGGGGACAAATATGTCAGTGGCAGCAGGAATAGGACACATGTCTACAACCTTCCTCCTTAAATTGTCTCAACTTCAGTTTGAGTTTTTATGGTGACTCACAGGCTGCACATTGTAGTAAAGGTCAAGCTTTCTGCAAATCTCCATGGACAGAGCTCCTCCAGCCCCTGGAGACACTTGCTTCAGTGGTGGATCAGCCTGATGGTGAAGAACATCTTTCTCTGCATCCCCTTATAGCTGTCCTTGCTCCATTGCAGTCATTACCTCTCATCCTCTCAGCGTGAGATGCAGAGAAGTCTGGCTCCCTTATCTACAACCCCTAAAGGTAGCTGAAGACAAAAGTTGGCTCCCTTCAGCCTTCACTTCTCCAGGCTGGAAAACTCAGCTCCTTCTACCTCATGTTCACATTTAGTACACATGCTCTCAGATCTGGAAGAATTATTTTCACAAAATGTCTTATTTTAAATAATTGGATAGAATTTTAAAATGCTCTCTTTTTTTCTTCTTTTTTAAAATAGATTTGGTCACTTTCTTGATTCCTTTTGTTCCTGAGGCCAAAAAATTACCTCACTCATTCAAGTCCATCCTCTGTCTAAGCAAACCCAAAATGTAACCAGCAGAAGACATGTAAAGGCCATTTCTGTGGTTAACTCCTGTCCTCCTGCTGAGTCTAAGCTCAGAGAGTCTGAGCTTAATGGGCAGAAGTCAAAGGCTCTGAGACCTTCCTTTTTCTCTCCTTCTTTTCCAGCTTCCTAAAGGCTTTCAAAGAACACTATTGCTGCCAGCCCCAGCCCCTGCAGCCCTGCCTGGGAGTCCTGATGCCTGTCCATGAAGATCTGCTCATTCATCTGCTGCCTCTTGAGGAGCCTGACCTCAGGTCTTGGAGGATGCTCTCCTGGTGAGTCCATGCTCTGCTTTTAGGCACTCTGCACTCCTGCTCTGTGTGCACTGCTCGCAGCTTCCTTTTCTCCTTGCCATAACCACAAGATTTGATTTCATCTTCTCCTTTAGCTAATAAAGAGGTCTTTTAAAAGTTGGTAGCTTTATGCATTGTTTTTCAAACTGGCAGCCTTGTTTAGGGCCTCAGCTCAAGTGATTTTTTCAGTCCTACTGTCCAAGTAAAGGTGAGTATTTTATTTCCTGTGTTGTTACTGTTCTGTACAGTATTGATGGGCATCATGAGGTGTAAATCTGGTTGAACTTCATGGATGTGCTTCTTGTCATTTCTTAAGGCTAAGTGGAAAAAAACCAGTGAGGCTGTGTAGGCAGTAAGAGCTGAAAGAGAAGTTGCTGGACAAGACAGTAATTAGTAGTTAGCCTGACTGCCTCTAGCAAAAATCAAATCTTTATGGCCCTGTGGTCTTTTTAGTGATTGAGTGCAAAAAAAAGCTGGGTCACTTGGTACTGCTGTGTGGGCTTCAGGGCAGGAAACAGTCAGGGAGTGGAGAGAGGTAGCAGACCAAAACAAAGTTTAGCTTTAAGAGGAAGCAGAGATATCACAGCTCCAGGTGCTGAACTCAACAAAAGCAGGTCTGAAAATTGTATCCAGACAAGTTGTTTCTGTAACTGTCCCTCAACGAACACCATTTTATATGAATTGTTTGAAAATGCACATGGTTGTACCAAAGGAGTGCTCTGGTAATGCATGTACTGTTTGCTAAATTTTCCAACCTGAATCCAACATATCTGTCTTCCTTCAGTAATCTTGCAGTGCAACTTGCCTGAGAACTGAGCCAAAACTTCACTCCAAATTTTATGTTCTTTTAAGAGCTGGGATAATGGAACTCATTGTTTTGCTTTGGGTGGAAAGGCTGTTGACAGTGGGGGCACATGGGCCTCACCTAGATCCACCTTGGGCAGCACAAACCAAAATGGCCACAAAAGGGTGACAGGTCACAGGGTCTCACACTTTTACAAGTTTTGGTCCATTAGCATATTGGGGTTAATTGTCCAATTACAGCTTTAGCCCATGAAGTCCCATCCTTGTTTTCTCTCTTCATTCCACCGCTGTTTCTGCTCTTGGGCCTGAGATCTAGATCAGCTGGTTTTGATTCCCAGCTAGAAAAGGAATTGTTTTGTCTCCCTTCTCTGGGAAGAGAGCTTGCTATCTCTTAATATGAAGCCTAGACTTACACTCTAAAGCAGAACAGAATCTGCAAAATATAAAAGCCAAAACCTGAGGCACCAGCAGCACCGTGAAAGAACCAGATGTGCTTGTGGCAAGCTCAATCCTCAACAGAGATGTCATTGTTTTGCTTTGGGTGGAAAGGCTGTTGACAGTGGGGGCACATGGGCCTCCAGCCTGTCCCCAGGATGGATAAGTTCACCCTAATGAATGGTATTTAAGAATGGTATTTCCCAGTTTAGTGTTCCCACTGAAACACTCCAGACCATGTGCTGCCCACTCACTTCCACCCCACCTTTCCCTGAGACAGGATGGAGAGGAGAACTGGGGCTATAAAAAGGCAGAGATCACGTGCTGAGACAAGAACAATTCACTAGAAACAGCAATGAGATGAGAAAGCAAGAAGTAACAATAATAATCGAAATACCAGAGATCCAAAAACAGATGGTTTGCCTGTACCAGACAGGCAAATCATCCACAGGTGATTGCTCACCACAGGGAATCTGGCACTACACCACTGCACACACCAGAAAATCAGGGACACACCACCACCCTCCCTTCCCCTGCCACGGAGTGAGGTGATGTGGAATAATCCCAGGGTTCTGGCCTTGCCCCTCCTGGCTGCTGCAAAAATTAACTCTGTCTTGCCTGGAGCCAGGACACACACCTAGAGAGAAAACCTGTGCCCTGGCTCTTCATGGCCATGCAGCAGACTGATGGTAGTGGTTAAATAATGACATTTCCAGGGCTTGATTTCTGCTCATAATGAAGTTGTGAGGTGAATCTGGCCTAAAAGTCTGGCCACAGTGTGTGTCTCAAATGCATTCAAGTTTTGCACTTTAAAAAATTCTCAGCTTCAGACATTAAATTTGTCATTTTCCTATTGATAACTCCAATACAAATGTGTGTATTACCACTTTTGTCTGCTTTTTAAACCTGTCTCTTCATTTGACTATTGTCTTTTATCTGGAGTGTACACAGTGCCTCTTCTGTGTTTTCCTGTTCTCTGTCTTTCAATAGACATTCTGGCTTTTATTTTTTTCACATAAAAGTCTTAGAAGTGTTTCCTCTCTGAAAATTACAAGTCATCAGGACAGCAGCAACTGGTGTAAGTATATTATTATTTATAATGTTTATCTTGTATAGGAGTATAGCAGGTACTCTGAGTCTGGACTGTAGTACAGTGAAATCAATAGGAAATGATCCTTAATTAATTGGGCTTCTGTTCCTAAAGTAATTCAGTGCTTCCACTGAGAATTAACTCATCAGCTTCTCTTGCTAAGTAAACATCACAATAAATAATACAAACTGTTGCTTTCAGAATGTTTTGTTTTCCTGCAACTTAAAAGGAGCTTTTGTTTAAAGTTTAAAATTTTTATGGAGCTATGCCTCTGGGCATTTTAGACATTAGATGAATAAAAAATGATCTAGGGTTTTATTTAGAAAACCATTCCTGTGCACATATAGGCTTGTCATTTTGAAATGAAATTTTCATACAAACTTTCAGCCCAAGGGACTGAGTGGAATCTTCAGATTTAACAATTTATAAGTATTCTGCCACTCAATGGATCAAAACAATACGTCCACACCAAACAATTCCCGTGCACTTTGAGTCTTTCATGTTTACTGGGAGTTAGCACAGTGTGTCTTTACATCACTTTCTGCAATATGAGATTAATCCAGCAAAACTAGGCAACTTCACAAGACTGCTAAAAGCTACTAATTAATTCTAACTTCAAACACCCATAAAGACACACTCCATCTGACCACAACGAAATCTCACAGCTAGCTTTGCTATTTGTCAGAGGAAAACCAACTTCCAAATTGTCACGTCTCTCCAACAGCGTGGTTCCTTCCCGAATTGTCAGTGCTGTGCTCTTTCCAGGCTGCCAGGTAGGAGTTTGAATGAGCTGGCTCACACACACACACACACACACACACACACACACACAGCCTGTTTCTCCCTTGTAGCCCATCCATCCCTGGAAAGCCAGAGTGGTTGTGTAAGGATCTGGGCTCACACAGCATCCGAGACGCGCTTTGCTCTCACCTCCCTCCTTCATCCCCTTCCTGCGGGTCCTGCTTTTCGTTTGTGACAGCGTGCTGAGGTTGTGTGGGATGCCTCAAGCAGGGGAGGAGGCCCGGAGAGAAATCCCAGAGGGAACTTTGCTCATCATGCCACCCCATGAGCTCCATCTAGCTGATTCCTGCCACAACAGCACGACAGGCTGAGCAGGGGCAGCTGCTGGGACCCACTGAGACAAGTTTGCCTTGCTATGGCTTGGATGCTGTGAGCTGTGAGATACTGGGAAGCACCTGGGAGCCTGACATCCCTGTAAGCTGCTTGCCACAAGCACATCTGGTTCTTTCATGGTGCTGCTGGTACCTCAGGTTTTGGCTTTTATATTTTTCAGATTCTGTTCTGCTTTAGTGTATAAGTCTGGGCTTCATATTAAGGGATAGCAAGCTCTCTTCACAGAGCAGGTAGACAAAACCATTCCTTCTCTAGATGGGGACCCAAGGACAGTCCATCCAGATTTCAGACCCAAGAGCATAAACAACAATTTACCAAAGACAAAAAACAAGAAGGATGGCGCCTCACAGGCTAAAGCTGTAATTGGACAATTAGCTCCAATATGCAAATGCACCAACACTTATAAAAATGAGATCCCTTGGCTGGTCATGCATTTTATGGCCATTTTGGGTTGTGCTGCCCAAAGTGTATCTATTGAGGCCTCCTAATAAATCCCTACATTATTCTTTAGCTCCATCTAGTCTCTGTTCTCGGTCAGCATTCACAAGGCATCACAATGATGTAGCATAAGTATCTCCTGCTCTGGGGTGCTGGCAAAAGCAGGTCTCACAGGTCTGAGGATCAGAGGTTCTCACCTTTTGTACTCCATAAACATCAAGGGTATTGCTCTGCATTTGTTTTCAGCTGATCAATTCACTGAAGGAGAAGCATTGAGCTGAAACCCAAAAACCTTCCTTTGCCTGAATATGCTGTGTGATTCTGCACTGAGAAACAGGACTGAGAAACTATTTATATAGTTCTTCAAAAGCATTCTGTAAAGATGACTTCATTGCTTCTTGCACAGTCATTTGGAAATGAAAAATTCTAACATGTACAGAACTAGAAAGGGCTTTTGCTCCCTTCTGAAGGAAAACAGTAGTTCTCTGGGTTGTGGGGTCTTTTGCGGAGGGGATGGTTTTTGGTTGGGGTTTTGAGTTGTTGTTGCAGATTTTACCTTTCCAAACCTGATGTAAAAAGACTTGGTGAAGAATTTCCTGGAATGGTGACAGCCTACCATTATAGAGGCACTGCTTGTTGTATCCTTGGACAGCTACACAGGGGGGGAATGATTTGCATTGTGGAAATGGGGAGATCAGGGATCGACTGCACTGAGTGTGACTGTGAACTATGAAATCGTGTTTTCTCTGTGTCTTCCAGTATCTGTTCATTCCTTTCTTTATATCCATAGTCCATGGGTTCATCTTTTCTCAGGCAAAGAAAAAATTCCTGGCTTTCCTTACATGTGTTCCACTTGGCAGTATTCAGTGCAGAATGGTGTGGAGAGGGAAGAGGCTGAGTGGGAATTGGGGGAACGCTGCAAGGAGGTGTGAAAGGATTGTATTTGTTGTTCAGCATATGAAGAGCAGCTTCCAGTCTGACTGCTGTTCATTTATGTGTTAGTAAAATCCTGATCACATTATGCATTTCCCTATGAAAATTCACATTTTAAATGAATAAAAAAACATTGGGCAGTATAGCAGACACCCAGTCATATGGACATTTAGTACATAAAATTAAAGAATCACTTATGTGTTCTATATTGATGGGCTCTGTGGACAGTGCAGCTTGAAAATATTTTTGTTATTAAACCCAGGAAGAGATAGAGCCACCTGAAAAAGTACATAGTGTCAGCTCACACATCCTCAGGTGCACAAATGTCACTCTCTAAAGCTGGTTGGAAGCTGAGAGTGAGGAGAAAGTGATAGACTGAACCACTGGCAGTGACATTCAAATCTGTGGGGTGTTTTTAGGCTCTGCCTCAGTGTTTTTGAAGAAAGGTTGACATAATGTCTCAGAAAAATTGATAGGCTTTTGAATGATGGCACCAGCTTTTACCTGATAGGGGAGCACGGTTTTGCCTTTGATGGTGCAGTGAAAAGCTGTCTGTCCTGACAGGCCCTGCTCTGGGTGCAGCTGCTCCAGTTCCTGATCTCTGCATGGTGCTGATGGTGAATTTATGGCTTGCCCAGTGCCTGCAGCCAGCCTAAACTGTTCCTGTATTCTCTGGCCTATCAAAATCAATTTGGTAAGCTGTGCTTCATTTGAGGGTTGCTCTAGTTCATGTAGCAGTGGCTGCCTGCCAGCTGGTTTGAAGTGATTTTGGCAATTGTCTCCTTGTTCTGGCCAGTGTCATTGAGGCACTAAGAGCTGGGTGTGAGTCAGTAGGCTCATCCACTGTGCTAAACTCCAGCAGACTCTTTAATTTAAATCAAGCAGAGATTCTTCAGAGCTAGGTGGTATGAGTGTTGGCACCTTCAGCAAATGCATGGAGCTTGTGTTACCTTCCTTATCCCAAAATAATGTCAGCAAAGCAGTCTTCTTGGGAACTGGCTAGCTCCTACCATCAAGAACATGATTCTGAAACCTGCAGGAGAGTTGCCAAAGCAGGCTGGAAAAACTTATTTTTTAAAGTTAATAAATGATAATTTATAGATGTATTCATGGTGGAATTGATGTTTTCTTTCTTTGAGAAAAATGAATGGTGTTTCTTCCTTCACCGCTTTTTCCGAATGCCTGCTTTAAAAACGAATTCCTTCCTCGCCAGCCATCCCTTAAGTTTTCTTTTAAACAGAGTTGTTGTAAGCATAAAAAAATTGTGTGAAAGCCTGCAGGTGATCCTCATATTGAAAGACTGATGTGACTTTTATATTCTGGAATTCATTCCCTTAACGCCTCACCTGCAGTGTTGAATTTTTCCATGCAGGGGAAAAGAAGCAGCAGTCCTTTATGAATTGTTCTGCCTCCAGTGAACAAACTATAAGCTGCATACTCTCAGGTATGGTGTACCTAAAAATGTAAATAAATGCTTAAGATAACAGTTTCTCTGACTTCATTTTGGTATCTGTTGATCTGGGAGTTAACATAGACTTTGTTCCCAATCCCCCCATCCTTTCATAATGTTCCATCCCCTATGAAAGGATCGAGTATAACTTGAGGACTGGTGCAGGAAAACTGCATTACTCTCCTTATTTACATGTTGTATTCCCTGTCTGGCCTTTGGGAAGTCTAATGATTTCCCCTGACTCTGTGCATGATTAAAGATAGAGGGGTAATGCTGTCTGTGTGACATGGAGAAATGTATTGATATTTTTAAGTAGACAAATACAAGGACTGGGGCATGTAAACTCTTTTCTCTTAGGAGGGCACTCTTTTATACACATTTAGGGAGCAGAGACTTGGTACAATATTAAATCTCTGTGAATTTATTCCTTTTAACTGTATCCCATATTGAGTACCTTCTTGTAAAATGGTGCATAATCTTTAATGAATACAAGACTAAAATTCTCCTCTGGATTTATATTCTAAGTATTTGCATAAATTTACCTCCATAAAATTATTTTATTGGCAAATCAAAATGCACACACAGATGTACCTTTCAGAGCTTAATTTTGTAAACAAGGCATCATGCTACGCTCTCAGTGAAGCTGACATAACTCTGTGGTAACATCAGTAGATTTATTTGAGATTTCAAGTTGGGTAACTGAGAGCTGCTTTTGGCCTAAAGACTCCAGAGTGAGAAGCATGTCATTAGTTATCTGCCCAGTGAGTGCAGGCTACCCAGAATATCTACAACTTGAGGAAAATTTTTGTGCCAATCAATTTTTTATCTGCTTTAGCATCTGGATTTCTCATCCCTAGCTCATTCTTTTGTTAGTTAAATAAGGTGGTTTTTTCTTGCATGCACATCAGGGAGCTCAAACTCTTGCTTTTTTCAGGTACAAAGTCTTAGTGCTATTTTTATGTGGACAAAACAAAGCACCATCCATTTAGTTTAGTAGGAGATTATCTGCAGACAGGGAAATGGTCTGATCAGGGTCTCAAGGGCTCTGAAATATTAGACTAGATTTCAGTCCCAAGTTATTCTGTTCTCTGCTTTTCTGATAAAAACATGTTCAGTGAAAGGAAGACCTTATAAATTGCTTCACAGTTTTAAGATTGCTACAAAAATTCCCAGCTGATAAATAGTATATTGTGACTGCCAGTCAGCTGCAAAAGACTATGTACACATATCCTACATGGCCCTAACCTAAATATATGGCAAGTAACTCCTTCCCCTTTGTGCATGCAGAGAGATTTCTGTTGTTCAAGCTGCACAATGCAGCTGCCACAGACTGGAGCTAAGTTACCTACCACTCTTTAATCATTTGCTAGCTTTGGCTGCCTAACATTATCTGACTTTCAATTTTTCTTCCAACAGCGTAGGCTGGGACTTAGATTTTTAATTTATTTCAGGCACTGAAACAAATATACCAAAGGGACATAAAATTTTCAATTTCAAATTATATGTATAGGCTAGAGGTAAAATTGTAAAACTATTTTGAAAGCTTCAAGATTAAATACTCTGAGTGTTTTGTTAAAATATATGGAGGCTACTACAGGCTAATGAAAACATGCTTTAAGTGACTACTAAGAATCCTAGGTGGAATAAGTGTTACAGCCTCATGTTCTGAAATTTAGAGTCGATACAGAACCATGATAAGCACAGTGCATTAGCACATCCAGAGCTAATGGTGACTTTTGCTTTAAACACTGCTGGCTGAATTTGAAATAATATTTCTGATGGAAAACAGGTTGCTTTTTTTGCAGGGAGGAAGGACACTCAGGCACAAGAATTTGGTGCCAACCTTTGCTGCCAGGGATGGCTGTAGAAAAGGCAACAAATCCTGAGAGTTAATCCAGGATTGTACCTGGGGCAGCTTTTGGCTCATGATTTTTTGAGTGCTTTCCATCAATCAGGCATTCTAAAAGAAGTATAAGAAGGGAAAAAATTAATGACAAAAGGAGACAAGCACTATGCATAGACCAGGCACTGAACTTAGGTTCAAATCTTTGTCACTTTTGGGTTCAGTGTTGTCCTTCACAATCTGTATGGGAGTTTGAGCCTGGGTTCAGAGTTAGCCTCAAGCATTTCCCATTCTAAACACTGGGGTTCACATTGCAGAATGTTGGTACTAAAAGTGGCTTCTCAGTGGATTTCTTGTACTTTCCTTTATTTTAAATTTTAGTGCTTTTAAGGTAACTCTCCATCTTGGGCAGTTCCAGGAATATGCAGCCCAGTAAGAGCCCTGGGATTAGCTGGGATCTCCTATCAAGTCAGAGATCAGTGCCAAGACAAAGATCTCAGGATCCCTCTCTCCTGCAGCAGCCTGCTCCGAGTTAATACAAGGAGAAATGGTTGAGGACCAACACCCAGCACATCACTGCATTGTCTCAAAGTGAGCTTCTCTTACCAGGGCCCCCAGCTGTCTCTGTCTGCAGGCCTCTCACTTCTTACATCCACAGCAACTGCCTGGCATCAAAGCTGAGTGGAGGTCACTATCTTATTTTTTGTTTCTGCAGGGCCTGAGTCCTTCCCTCTTATTTAACCTGTAGCATCAGCAGAAGTCCATGGCAGGGGATGTTTTGGAGGCTGGCTGGCAGAGCCACACAGGCTGTGATCTGAGAGCAGAGTAGCAAATGCTGTGCTGGAATTAGGCTGGGTTTCTTGAGAAATAATAATATATTGGTCACAATTAGCATCCTGTACACCTTTGGTTTGAAAAATAAAAGAAGCTGGAGGGGAAAGGGAGAAAAAGAGGGAACATTTCACTGCTACACTTAAGCTGTGGTATGATGGCTCAGCTTTCAATCTGTCCTGTGATAATAACTTCTGAAATGGAGAAAAACACTGTAAAAATGATTGGACAAAGCATGTGTATTGCTTGTTACACAAAGGGCTATTATTTCTCACTGCATGTGTACTTACCATTAGAAAAGTTTTAAGGATAATATAAAAAAAAAAACCCAGATGACAGCTGCCAAAGGCACTTAAAGATTAACTAGCAATAATTTTACTTCCAGATGGAGGCAAGTTCAGAAACAGCTTGATATTCACTGAGCTTAGAGAAGTGAAGGTGATGTTTTCAGACCCTGGAAGAGGAATTTACTTTTTCCTTCAGTAAGTGTTATCTTTGATCCTTCCCCTCTCACCAGTTTATTGCTGCAGCAGTGGCACTGGCCTGGCATCTGGAGGGAGCTGTTTTGGGAAGATAAGGTTGCATTGTGGAGGATGCTGGAAAAGAGGGAAATCAAGGCAAGGCAGTGGGGCAGCAGGTACAAATACAGTGAGGAGAGCACAAGCACCTGCTTCTCAAATGAATCCTTGTGTTTGCAAACTGATTAAAGGCTGAGCTGTGTTCTTTATTGAGATGAGGAGCAGGGCAGCCTGGGACTCCACTGAAGATGATAAGGAGCAGTATCTTTTTTGGACAGCCAGGAGTTTAGATATGATTATTCTGCTGGGAGAAGCCTTTCTGGTAACGGTGGGATGGTGAAATCCTATTCTCAAAAATGCCTTCTGTGTTGCCTGTTTATCCTTTCAGATAAAAGGCTCTTCTTCTTTTCCCAAGAAAGCCCCTGTGCCCTCTTGGCATACAATTACACTGATTGCTTGCAAGTAGCCTGCTTTTAAGGACAGAGCCTTTGATCAACTCTGTGTGAGCAACCCAAAGATTAAATTAATTCCTGGCCACTTAGCATCACATATTTAGGTAATTTTTGAGGTGAAGCAGTGCTGGTGCCTCAGTGTCCCTCTTGCACACTTATTCTGCCCTGCCTTTTGCCTCCAAGGAGGGCAGTACTGGCTGCTCTCTTGCAGTTCCTCACCAGCATTATCCTGCATCAGGTGCCAGGGATGAGCAGGGGCACAAGGAGCAGTGGGATTTACCTCCCCAGTTATGGTGAGCATAACCCCTACTGAGATCAGTATTCCTTCTGCAGTGATAAGATCTCAAAGAAGCATTATTTGTGGATATCCTGCTGCATTCTTAAAAGTTATATCAGTGCTCCTGTTCTGTGAAAATATAATTAGTTGGGACTTGAAGGGATCTGCGCTCATGAAGCCTGTACCTTCTGGAATAAGAGAAATACGTACAGAAGATACATTCATGCACATGGCTTCTAAATGGTTTATGTTTTTCATCAGTGTGTTGTGGAAAATGCTCTGCTGACAGGATTTCCTGCTCTGCTCTCTGTATCTCATGGACAAAAGGGAGCACATCTTTGGATGTTCTCAATATGTCAGAGAAGAGAAACATAAGAATCTCATTAACCTCCAATAACTAATGATCAAAAATAGAGGATTTTTTTAGTAGCATAACACTGGAAAATAATACACATTTCAAGAAGCCAAGCCCTCTGTAATTCTTTCTTTTGAGTACGAGTTTTGCTTTTGAAGTATTACAACCACTTATATAGCATTAAGCAAAGCTAAAAACAAGCAGCTTGAACACAAAGGAATTCTTGGAGCTTCCTGTAGGCATTGTAGATATTAGGCTATAGAAGCATAATGGCAATCCTCTAAAGAGGTATATATTTATAAATCTATAAAATTTAAAATTGTTATTTTAGACACTGCACAGACACCAAGAAATGCAGTTGTGTTTTGTTGTAATACTTAAATTCCTTGAATAGCATAACAGAAACAAAACCTACAGTATAATTTTGAGCTGATATTCAGATCTCCCACTAAGGCAAATGCATTTGACTTTGAGTTATATGGGGGTTTTTTGTTTGTTTTTTGTGGGTTTTTTTGTGTGGTTTTTTTTTTTTTTTTTTTTTTTTTTAGACTTGCAAGATTTTTGATAAAAAGAAGACAGATATCCTTAAAATAAAAAATTTTGGTGCAAGGTGGACTCCAGCATCACCTCTGTCTGCTGTGAATTCTGCACCTCTTAAGGACCCTTAGTGTGATTCTATAAGAAACTTATAGGGAATGTGGTCATCTGAAGGATACTGCATAAAACATTAGCAACAATAAGAATTGTCAATTGCACTGATCTTGTCCTATATTCTGATTTTGATTTTATGATGAAGATGCACATCTTTATAGCTATGTGGTGGATATATTTAATCACAAACTACAATGTTTTCAAAGATTAAAGATATTTCTAAATCTTTTCTAAAGCACCTTTGAAAAAAGGCATCAATGAATTTTATGAATAGTGAATATCTGAATCTATAATGTATTTCTAAAAATTACAATACCAGTATGGTATTAGTGTCTTTTGACAAAGCATAAGAGAAATCTGAATATTATTTTAATATAATTTTATTCTTCAATTAAAATATTCATGATCAGCTTTCATTATTTCAACTCCCTGATCATTACAAAAAATGTAAATTATTTCAATTCCCTCATTCAGATTACGCAAAAGAAGGAAAAATTATTGAATCTTGCAGTGTACTGAGTGGCCACAGACAATTTTCATAGGAGTGTAGTCCCAGGCAGGGTTCTAAATTTGGCTTCAGTCTTCTAATTAAAATGGGTAGACTTTCCTACACAACAAAATGACAAGGACCAGAATCCTCATGTGTGGCTTATCTTCAAATGAGAATGGTTGGGACCATGTTCCACATTTTATAGGGTGTTCATTTATTCCGCTATATTACAGCCCTCACAGATCTACATCTCATCTTTATGAAGTTTTATGAGCTGTATAATATGCATGACCCTAGATTTCATTCCCTACTACTCACTGTGGTTAGATAAAGGCTGGAAAATGCTGGTGGGACTGTTCAAGCTCTTTATGGACTGCTGGTGTTCACAGAGCTTGCTCCTTGGAAATGACTTCTGCTTTCTGCTGCTGTGTCTGCGACAGTGGTCACAGGGGTTTTCAGGTGAGGGAAGAGATGAGAATGTTGACTCCATGTTTCAGAAGGCTTGATTTATTATTTTATGATATATATTACATTAAAACTATACTAAAAGAATAGAAGGAAAAGTTTCATCTCCGAAGGCTAGCTAAGCTAAGAATAGAAAGGAATGATAACAAAGGTTTGTGGCTCAGACAGAGAGCCAGGCTAGCTGGGCTGTGATTGGCCATTAATTACAAACACCCAACATGGGCCAATCACAGATGCACCTGTTGCGTTCCACAGCAGCAGATAATCAATGTTTACATTTTGTTCCTGAGGCCTGTCAACTTCTCAGGAAGAAAAATCATAATGAAAGGATTTTAATGAAAAGATGTCTGCGACACTGTGTCCATTGCTCACTCATTTTCAGTTTTCATGCTTTTCGGCTCTCTTCTACCCAACCCATCTTTCAACCTCTATGATTATTCTTTTTTTCTTTCCTTTTGAGGACTTTTTGCTGTCACCATCCTGGCCTTTCTACCCTCCAAAGCTGCACTCCTGACTCTACAGATCTGGATCTTCCCACTTGTTTCTCTTCATTTTTCTCCTGTGCTTTCTCTTTCTTCTGCAGGGAAGCAGAGCAGCTCCCTGTGCACCCATACCACACCTCAGAGGACACCAGGAGCTGAGCCTGTGCTGAGCCCACCACCACAAGACTGATGCCGTGTGCACTCATGTCCCCAGCGAGCTGGCTGAAGCGCTCTGAGGAGGAGAAAGCTTTCAGAGAGCTATCTAAAGATTTTGTCTTCTTCCACTGTCTCTCATCTGGAAACATTAAGCTACACAGAATAGAAAAGAGGCAAAGAGTGATTGATTTATGTATTTGGCTCATTTATGGTATAGGATTCCCTGGGCAGTTGCCCAAGATTTTTTAGGGATGCTTTCCATAGGGTGCAAAAGCTCTTGATCCCCAGATATAAGGAATCAGGAAAGGAAGGCAAGAGACCTGCTGGGTTGGGATTAAAGGGCAGGATGGAAATGCACAGGCAAAGGAAGCAGGGACAGGTGACCTGGGAAGAGTCCAGAGACACAGTCCATTTGTGTAGAGATGGAGCCAGGAAGGCCAGGGCATGGATGGAGCTGAACCTGGCAAGGCATGCAAGGAATGACAGGGAAGGATTCCACAGGTGTCTTTCAGAAAAAAGAGAGTGTCAAAAAGAGCAACTTCCCACCTCTCCCAAAATGAACAACACAGGTAACAAGATATGAGGAGAAGAATGAGGTACTCAAATATATTTTGCTCAGTCAAATATGTTTTTCTCAAGCCACCTCTCTTCCTGGGGTGGAAGGCAGGGGCAGATCAGGGGAAGGGAGAGATGTGTCCCAGACTGGGAATTGAGATGCCAGGAATCTCAACATCCAGAAAATAACTGCTGTAGGGCTTGAGTGGCTTTTGCTTTTTCATAGAGACAGAGGGTAGAGGCCTGGGCAGGAGAGATGGAATCACTGATCCAGGATGTGGAAAGCTTTTAGCAGCTGTGACCATCCTTGAATAAACTGTGCCATGTGCATTCATTTCTCCTAAAAACCCTCCTCTTAGAAGAGGATGCTTTCTCCTAGGAAAGACCTTTCCTGGGGAACAAGCACCAGTGAGTGTTTGAGAGGGAGCAAAACTTCACATAGCACAGGGAAACAGATGTACAACAAATGTTTTCTTGTTTAACTTTTCTTTGCTTAATTTGTTTAATTAAGGAAGGGGGTGGAGGAAGGGACAGGAATGATTTATCTTCATAACTCCTGAAACATGCATTCCAGCACTCGAGATGGAAAATGCCACCTGGGGAAACAACATTCCTAAGTCTGTGGAACCTGATAAGGCCTGAGGGAATTGGCTGATGTAGGGTCCAAGCCACTCTCCATGACATCAGAAAAGTGATGGCAGTCAGGTGAAGTCCCTGGTGTCTGGGAAAAGGGAAACATTGCACCCATTTTCAATAAAGGGCAGAAAGGAGGACCCTGGCAGGGACTGACCTGTCAGCCTCACCTCTGTGCCTGGGAAGATCATGGAGCAGCTCCTCCTGGAAGCTGTGCTGAGGATCACAGAGGACAGGGAGGTGACTGGGGACAGCCAGCACAGCTTCACCAAGGACAAGTCCTGCCTGACCAGCTTCAGTGGGGAAAGGAGGGGCTATGGATATAATTTATGTGGACTCCTGTAGGGCCTGGACACATTCCCCTATAACATCCTTTTCTCTAAACTGGGGAGAAGTGGATTTGATGCAGAGATGAAGAATTGGTTGGATAATTCATCCAGAGGATGGCAGTCAATGGCTCAGTGTCCCTCAGAGGTTCACACTGGGACCAGGACTGTTTAATGTCTTTATCAATGACATAGAGAGTGGATTTGAGTGCACTTGATGACATTAAGTGTCCTTTCCAAACTATTCTATGATCCTATGACTGGTACTGTCTGCTTTAGGCACCATTGGACAATGTACCCAACTCAGAGGAACACACCAGACACCCTGCAAACTACTGTGCAAAAATTCAGGGTTTACAATTTCCTTTCCTGAGAAGAGAGAGTTTACCAGCTAAAGCTCTGCTAAATTATGGAAGAGAAAATCAAGTGCTATAATTGTGGGTGTTTATCACAGTTACAGTTTTTTTCTATTCATAGAAATTTGATTTGAACAGGGTAAATCTGTGCCCACAATACAAATGAGATCATCTTCAAACAAAGTAAATGAAAGAGGCACTTTTTATGGCTTTATTTTATAACTGTTCTGCTTGAGGAGTTAGTCTTTCATTTTTCCTTTTATACCTTCATGTTAAATCCAACACAAAAAACACTTCAATTAAAAGAGGGAGTGTGTGATTTTTCAGTAGGAAAACATGATAGAAAAACTTGACTGACCACTAGTCATGGTAACTGATTTATGGAACAGGTAGGAAAAGCATTGAAGGGTGCTGTAATTTCAGCTAAAATCTGTGATGGCGTTCTGTCATTGATGCAATGAGAAGTCCCTGCAGTTTAATTTTTGTTGTGCTAGTACAACAAAAGTACTTCTCAGAAAGGCCAAGCACCTTTACACCACTTGAATAACATCCCTTTTAAAGAGCTGGACCTCTCCATCAGTCTGTTTCCCGGTGAGGGAAGCTCTTAAGTGGGAGAGAGCTGATGTGCAAACCCATGCTCAGCCTGCTGTGCACTGACTGGTGGATGGATAACCAATCTGTCAAAGCCATGCATACCAGGGAAAGGACTGGGCTAAAATGTGATGTAAATAACCTATATTCCACTAAAAAATGAGACAAGGATCTGTTAGCTTCCTCTGGGGATGGGAAATCTGTAATTAAAGCTATTGAAATATTAGAACCCTTGCTGTCTTCCACAGATCCTGGTGAGAGTTAGACAGCAGCTTGGTAGGCAAAGGCAACTGGAAGAAGCTGGTGGCAGGCATGTAGAGTCATTTTCCCACTTCACCAAGCCCCTTACTCTTTCCCCTTTTCCCCTGCTCAGAATGTAAGTAACTTAATCTGTAAACATTTATGCAAGCTCAGTCTTTTGGGATTGGGAAACAGCTCCCAGCTGGGTAGAAACTTGCTAAGCCTTCAGGAGGAAGGCAGGGTGTGCTCAGGTTCTAAACAAAGCCAGTTTCATCATTTTAGGGTAAATGGACACAACCAAGAGACTCTTGCCAAACTGTTTTTGTTGTGTGGTAGCTTGAACACAAAACATTGCTGCTGGACTGCCTGTGGTTTATTTGTCTGGCCCAAATTGGAGCTCCCTAGCCACTTCTGACCTGCCTTGAGGAGGAATAGGGGTTTCATCATGATGCCACAAACACTGAGGATGCTGGGAATCAGCAGAAAACTGGGAGAGCCTCACAACTCTGGGAAAGCAGGGCTCTGGGAAAGCCCTGTGTTCAGTCAGGCCCTTGGATACCCTCCCAGAGAATCAGCATGTGCAAAAACTCTTTGGAACAGCTCCCCAGCACAATTCTCATTTTAAGTTGATTACCCAGAAGAGCAAGAGGTGATAATAGCTGGGTGACAGATGAAAAAGCAATAAAAGTTTCATGGGAACAGAGGAAGCTGGAAACAGAGCATGACTGTAATCCCTGGGCACTCCTATTCACAATTGCAAAGAGGAGATGGCAGCCCTTGATCTTCTGAACCCTGATCTCTCCCCAGTTTGTGCGTTTATGCTGGTAGAGAAATTAGGCTCCTTTATCACCTGGATGTGGCACTGTTTTGCTGTAGCTTATAAACCTGGCTGCAGTTTACATGAGGACAGCTTTAGCTACACCCAGTAGGTGCAGTTGCCTGAGATTAGAAGGTTGCAGGTTTCCTTTCATTCCACCACAAGGAATTTTGCAGTGTTTGGTGCCTTAGGTTGAGGAGAGCCGTGGTTTCAGGAGTGCATATCTGCCTCCTCTCTGCCCTCTCCCACCCCAGGAGCTGCTGTCTGCTCTGCCTGTGCTGATTCTTGCTGGCAGGGCTTTAACCCAAGGTGACCTCTGCTGTCTGAGGGAAACTCCAGTGCTGCTTTTGTCTGTTTGTTTTTCACAGAGGGTAAACATCTAAAGTGGACCATTATACGATTTTGGAAATCACTTGTATGCTCGGTTGTTAGTCACTCATATTTTCTTGTTCTCACTATTATGTGATACAAAGCCTTGTTTAAGAATGTTAGAGGTGGAACCTAATGAGAAGAAACTGTATTTTAGAATGAAGACAACTTGCTGCTTAGTCTGGTAGGATGGGAGCCTAAAACACTCTTTCAGTTATAAAAAATGCCTTTCATACAAATAAGGAAACTTATTCAGTTTTCTTTTCTGCAGAATGTCCTGGCTGACCCATGCTGCTATGCTTTTGTTATAAATCATAGCCAGAGTGGGAAATCAAACTGTGATATACAGCTCTATTCAAATCACACTCGCTTTTCTGCTTCTGAGGAGCTTGCTTGTTAGGGAGACATGTGAGTTATAAATAGCACAACATATAACAAGGTTCCTTGCAAAGATATGCCAGAAAATATTTTTTGCTGTGGGGAGAGAATCTTTTAAAAGAGCCTTTTGATTTTTTTTACATTCCTTCTGCAGTTTCCAGACCTGAGTATGCAAAGACTCCACCAGGGCAGTACGAATCAAGTTTTCTGGACTTGCTGCTTCTTTGCCCTGAACTTAATGCAGCATTTCAGTTTGCTCACCTGCAGAAGGAGTTTGTCTCAACCTAGATTATAATTTCTAGGTTCAGAGCCAGCATTACCACACAGGTAATGGGAGAAAAGGACAAAGACAGGACAAGGGCTATCTCCATCAGCATAAAGCATCTTTGGAGGCATTTGAAGCTTCACCATTCCAGAAGCAGAAAACTTGTGACTTGAAGTTAAATTCTTTAGCCAATCTTCTCTTTCTCCAGATATGCTGTGTAATAATTTTGGAGGTCGAAATTTGTCCATTTTATAATCTCCCTTTTCTCTGGGGTGTGACTGGCACCACAGTCTGAGCCACAGAGAAGAAAGGAGGGAAGGGAAATTTGCTCTTAGTGCCTGACTAAGGGTGAGTGAAGCATGGGTACTGTTGTCACCTGGGACAGTTTGGCTGCCACACTGAACTCTGGCACAAACACAGTCCACCTTAAGGTTTGTGGTAATCACACTGCACAAGAACAGTCAAATTAGCTTTATAAACAGCTTTATTAGATGATGGACAGTGAGAGGATATGGTAATGACATTGCCACTGGTTTGCTGAGTGATCTTGAACTTGTTAATTTTTTTCTTTGGGGTAGTTTCCCCCTCATTCTCTGTATTTTGTGAACCTTAGCAGGAAGGATGACCTCTTGCTCTGTGTTGGCATTGTGTCAGTCTTATCTGCTGCCTTACCTGTGGTCTCCCAGTGCTGCTGTGGTCTCCTAATTCTTCATCTTCATAGCAATCCTGCTACTGCTGAATGCAAAACTGTATCATTCTATTACTACTAATAGATCATTCACAACATTGTGTTTCTGAGTTTTTGAAAATTTTGATGTGAAGCAGTAAATAGAAGGGAACTACCAAAAGTTCTCTAGATCATCTGGAGATGTGAAGGAAGTAAACATAAGTCACGGAACAATAAAATCTTAATTTTTAATGCTTTTCCTTTTCCTGCTTTAGTGATGGATTTTATTCCTTCTCCTTAAAGTTCTAGTGGCAGTCAGCTATTACACACAGCCTCCATTAGGAGAACATACTTTGTTGCTATAGCAATTCTTCTCACAGATATTTTATTGCACTTAGATGCTGCTGGGGAAAAAAAAAAAGGAAAAAAAAAAGGCAAAACCAAGGCACAACAAAAAAAGGCATTGCTGAAATGGTCAGCCTACCTGATCTTTTATTTCTGAGCAACTTTTGACTGTATCTCAGAGCAATCTATATTCTGGTAAACACTTTGTGAGGCACTATCTGGGAAGGTTTATTGTTGCTTTATAAGTGGCATACGGCACACAGCAGGACACGCTGCAGCACAGTGTCTGACATAGCAGCTATAGATTACTGGGAAGATAAATTCATCCTTTTTGATCTGAGCATTTCACCAGCTCCAATTTGAAGTCTTGATATCACCCTGTCAACCAAAGGGGATGTTTTTAAGTAAGGGAAGAGTTATCAAAGGTTTA